TTATAATAATTATCAAATATATCACTAGTGCGGAGATATCGGCGACTTTACTACAGAAAACATAAGTAGCTTTGAATACTGTGTTAGACTTGTTTGCAACCAATTCCTGTTGAATGGAAGCAGTGGTCGATTAATATCTGATAAGAGAGTTCGCGTAAGCATTAAATCATTAGCGTTAGGATGTGTTGCAGCCGTTGTACGCCTTCACCCGAAGACACTCATTATTGAACTGTTTCTTGAATGCGATAAAACTTTACAAAAATCAGGTAAAAGCCTTGGTTTAGTTGAATAAAGTTAAATATTATTGATAAATATTAATTATTAAATAAATGAAAAATAGATTCATCCCAGAAAATATGGGATATTCTTCTATACTCGACACACACTGACCCACAAATTAGAGGACAAATTGCTATAATTATTGGACACTTTATCGATGAAGTTCTTAAAGAGTCTCAAACTTTTAACGAGTTTTTACTACAGAATTGTTCCATATCTTCTTATTCTGGTATTATTAGTAATCATTTGTAAATGTTTTAAACTTAACTAAATATTCTCTGTAATGAATATTATAAACAGAATTTCCATCATTAGAAGAATTGCTAACAAAATTATCGTCATTGATATCAGACGAGCAAAATTCTTCAATCACTATAAAACAAAGTCTAATTGGACTCAAAATATGTCTTAGAAGTTGCTTAGAATCTAAAGACAATATCAATTTATATTCACTTTCATTGTTGGAACAATTAATTAGATTAAAGGACAATCCGTATTGGCTAATAAAGGTATTTGCATTTTTTTGTAATCATAATATTGCACATTTTTTAAACTTAAACTTTTTGTGCTTTACAGACAGCACTCGTCGATGTTTTTTCTGAGATTAATTATAAAAGCGTTCATTATTTCGAAATATCAAAATCTCAGCTAAAAAACGGAATTATTGTTAAGAAAGAAAGTCTTCAAAAGAGGATTTTAAATGAAGTATTTTTTCCATTTCTGGCCGACGAAGACTTTAGAGTGAGAGAAGCGACCGCTCACTCGCTGTGCAAGTAATGTCCATTTAGTTTCGCATATTAATAACCATAGTATCTAATATGTTGTCATTATTAACACCTATTTTTAGTTTAATACCAGTGCTATTCACTCCTGCCATACACTTGGATAACGACCCGATAACAGCCATTGCATTCGAGCACACAATCAAAAACCTCTTACAGAAAGACTTAACATTTAAAGACTTTGAAGCAAATATTCCTCCAATTAAGGCATTCATAGATCCACTAAATTCTCAACATTTGATTTTGAGCGCAAAAAATCGTTTAATTGAAGCCAATCTCTCAGATATAATAATTAATTTGTTAAATTCACTGCAATTCAATTTAGACAACAAACACGCTCTCATCGGTTACTGCAATGCTTTGGCTTTTTTATCCAACAAATATCCTATCACTGAATATCCCGACTGTTGGGGCTCTGACTTATCGGAGACGTCTGTTTCAATGCAATTACTGGACATTTGTATGACATTACTGTCAACCAGTTCTCTAGTGGTGTTAGACCTAACCGCACACCAAAGCGTATTGTCTCTGACCGGAAATCTTTGCGAGGGTTTGGCTTATAATGCAATTAAAACCAATTTTAAGAATAGCGTCGCGTTTGCACCCGATCTCGATTGGGGTCTATTAAGTCATGTTTCGCCACATTTAGTGCAACAATTAGAGGCCATTTTCACTCATTTAATGCGAATTATGAACATTTACTCGTCTATTATTGACGAGCCGTTGTTGACTTCGACAAACATAATGAGCACTTTAACCAATTATAATAAAATGCCTGTCATTCAGACACTTTCTAACTCACCATTGAGTCCAATCAGAAGGAAATCATTGCTCAAGACATCGGATTTAAGTGATAAAATGGATTCAATGAAAAGAAGTGATTCTGAAAAGTCAGATAAAGACAAATTCACAAAATACGGCTCGAATACACTTCTTGTCCGCTTAAGCGAAATGATTAGAGCCTCATATCTCAGTAATAAGACTTCTATGGATTTAAGTGGAGATAAGATGTCAGCGCTTCTTCATAT